TTTTCTTTTTTTTTTTTTTTAAGAGTTATTTATTTATTTATTTATTTATGCATACAGAGCTGGGGTACAGACAAGAGGTGCAGAGGCGGTGAGAGGATTCACCAGAGGCAGAGTGGGGAGCAGAACAAGCAGATCTGATGAAATACACTGCTGAGGGGAGCAGTAGGGAGACAGGCGAGGTCTGCCGCACCCTATGGGTCACCTCCCTGGCTGGGGATCAAACTTGTACTGCAGTGGCTGTGGATAGCTTCCTAGTGCTGAGCCTTACCCCCCAGGCACCACCAGGGAGGCTCCTCTTCTCCATCTCTGGCCTTGGCCCCTCTGACATCCTGGCTCATCCTCTCTGCCAGCAAAGAGCTGAGACAGTTTGGGTGACAGTGTTTTCGGGAGCAAGGATTTCAGGCAGCAGAGGTGGAGAAGCGGGGAGACTGGAGGGAGCCGCAGAGGGAGAAGAAGGAGGACAGACCACAGACATGCAAATGACCCAAGAAGCCAAACTGGGAGGGGGCACACCAGAAGGGTGTCCATGCGGAGAGGGACAAGGGGGAGCAAAAGGTTGGGTTGGGATAGGGCAGTTCATCAGCCACTGAAATGCCCAGGGCAAGTGAGACACAGGGGCGTCTCAGCCCACAAACAGGGTGGGCTGGAGCCAGTGGGAGACCAGAGACACAGAACAGCCAACCAAGCAGCTGTGGGTGCGTGACTCCAGGGAAAGGACAGTGAAGAGAGCCTGGGCCCGCCGGCTTCGAAAGACGGGGTGCAGGGGGGATGGGCCCAAAAGGAAGCACCCGCAGCGACCCAGAGACTTGGAAGGGGTGTCCGAGGTAAGCATGAGTGTGCAAGCTCCAGAAACATCAGGAAGCCAAACAGGACTATTGTTACTGAAAGGAAAAAGCTGTGCACCGTTCTTAAGGAGTCAACCAACCATTACAGCAACAGCTCAAGCCTGTATAAAACCACTGTCAACTCACCAGACAACAGAGAAATACCGACGTGTGCAGAGAACCCTGGGATGGTAATTTCCTGCACGAGGCTGTCTCGAAGCCGCGCGGAGCGAGGGCGGCGTGTCAGCACCACGTAATGGAGTGTTTCTCCATCATGTCAAAAATCTCACACACGCCACGACTTGGGGGATCGCTCCAGATGTGTTTCTGGCTTCTGGAGCCAGCTGGGTGAGGACTGGCTGAACAGGGCTCCCCCAGGCTTACTCTTCTCAAAGGGCCGTGTAACAGTGACCTTGCGGTAGACACTGTCTGGACTCTACGCCCTGCTCCTGGCACCATGGATGATGCCCACGTTTGGGCTGGCACAGTGCAGCAACATCCCAGCACCCTGGTGCTCTTCCAGAGAGATGAGAAGGGAAGAAGCCACCACCGGGAAGGGTGCTCTATCTAACGCAGCGTCCCCGAGAGGTACGGACGGCAACTGTCACTTCAGGTTGACAAAATTTAAAAAAAAAAAAAATGTGGAATTAATGTTAATGATATATTTCACTTCATCCAATGGTTCCAAAAATAGTCGTGCCAGCAGGTCATCAATATAAAAAATATGAAAACACTAGCTCACACCCCCACGCCCAGTGTTCTATCTTCGAAATCCCGCGTGTAGTCTGCACTTAGATCCAGTCTCAGCTCAGACAGGCCACAGCTCAAGACTCCATCTGGTGCGCACGGCTCGCAGCTACCACCCAGGAGGGGGCCATGCCCACGGGGACCCATGCAAGGGGCAAGCGGTCCAGATCAGCGGGAAAATCTCCAAGAAGCCTTCCTATGCATGAGTTCAGGATAAGGTAAAGGAAGACAATTTCCCCGATGCTGTTATTAACTTTAAATGGACAGTCTGTTGTGAAATCTCTCTCTCTCTCTCAGACACTCAAACACACACACACTCTAGCGGGGCTGAAGCAGCTGGCCGAGGGGAAGGCTGTGGGTGCGGCCTCGGGGAAGCAGGTCCAGCCAACAGGCCTGTCAGCAGCAGCGTTACCAGCACCACGGCCGGGTTTAGAGCGGCCACTCCCTTCTCAAGGCGCTGATCCACTCTCTCCCTTAATCTTCCAACAGCCGTGTGAGAAAGGCACATCTACCTTGTTTTGCTGATGAAGAGGGCCGGGTGCCTGAAATGCCATGCTTACTTCCAGGGATGGCTGCCTCCCCGCTCTGAGCTTCTCCAGCAAGCCAGCATCTACTGCCCACCTGACCACCTGCTCACCTAACAGCCTTTTAACCAGCCCCTCCCTTTACAAAGAGCTAACAGGTTTTCAAAATCACTTCTGCACACACGTGCCCGCCACTGGGGAGCAAGACGAGCCTGCCCCACGGGTCCTTCCACAGAAACCCGAAACCCGAGAAGCCCAGGAGGACCAGCTGGCCCAAGGTCACCCTGCCCTCTGATCCCTCACCACCACCACCTCCCCACTTCACCAGCCTGCCTCCTGCCTTGAGGAAGCCACCTTCTTTTGGAATAAAATGTTTAAATGTCAAAACTACCTGTAAATGCACGGTGCTGTTTTCTCCAACCAGGAGTGTCCTAACGGCAGGGGCAGTTTCAATAGTTCACAAGGGTGATTTCACACTGTAGCTCCCCCCAACCCAAGCCCACAGTGGGTCAAGTAGCCTGCTGGGGCACTGGCTGCAGCCTGGAGGCCTGTCTCCTCACTAATCAACTGCTCCCTGTGAGGATACAGCGCATGCATACGTAGCTTCAACCCCCACCCCCACTCCACAACGCCTCAGAGCCCAGAGGGATGGATCTGCAGCTACCTGAGGGCCTGGGCTTTGATTCCCTTCTTCTACACACCTCACGGCTGGGGAAAGTCCCCCAGTTTCGGGTATCCTGGCTCTTCATGACTAGTTGGCACATAGGTTCTCTGGTCCCTGGGTCTTTAGTGGGGCCAGCCACTAAGAGCTTTCTGGAGCTTCCGTGTTGACCTCAACCAGCAACGGGAGCTTCAGAACTCCCTACACATTGCTGGAAGTAGAGATGCAAGGGCCCAAAGTCCTATTTTCAAACCAAGCAAAGGATTCTGATGGCAGTGATCACAGTACAGCAAGAATTCAGTTATACTTGAGGGAAAATTAAGCAAACTGCAGGTAAATAAACAAGAAGCTTCAAAAGAGCTGCACTAAATACGTTTAGTGCAGCTAAATACGTTTCAAAAATCAATAAATGATTTCATAAGATGTAGCCGACTTGTCAGTAAAGACATGTGAAAGGAAGGAGGCGGAATCCAGGTGTACAAAGGTGCCCTGCTACACGCTGCCTGCAAGGACAGCCAGACCCGGGACCCTTGGCAACTGGGCCAGCACGCGCCCCTGGGCACCTACAGCACTAAGCATCATCCCGGAGGCTAGAAACAGAGCGGAGGTTGCCAACTCCTTGGGATGCAAACTGGCTTTCTACTTTTCCTTTATTCAACGACTCTCCGTGTGTATTCAGCCTAAGGGAGTCGTGGTGTCCCCCAAGATATCTTTTCACACAAAGGATGAAAACGCTAATAGCTCTGCAGCCCCCGGCCACAGAGCACACCTCGGGAGCACACCAGGTCGCCTCTCATCAGGAAATCGAAGCTGAAGGTCAGCCAGCTTCTAGCCGGGAAGTGGATCATTTCTACCACGTGAGTTGAATGGTCCCGACAGCAGCGCCCCCGCCCCGCCTTCCCAGATACAAAAGGAGGCCAACCCGGACCCCAACGTCTACACGGCAGGTGCACCTCATCCTACATGCAACAGTCCGCGCCACGCCCCGCCCCCCACCGTCCATGCCCGGAGGAGCAGGAAGGGCTCAGGAGAGGAGGAGGAGGCAAACAGGCGTGGAAGGAAAGTCGCAGCATTCTTACTTTTCTGGCAGCGGTTTGTGGTCCAGCAGCGGTAGTTGTACTCGTTGTTGATGGTGGTCTTCTCACACACCGGCTTCTCCTCCATTGTCCCCGGGCACAGGTCCCCGCACTCCTTCTGGGGCTTGTTCCCCACGATGTAGTTGTTGGACACTGCGTCCAAGATCAGCGACCAGTCCACCGTGGAGAGGTAACAGAGATCAGCATTTTTCTCAATCCTGATGGCCCCCCGAGTTATGTTCCTCAGGTTGTAAAGCCCAATATCCTTGAGATTGGTCATCTCGAAGATGACCAGGGCGTAGTTGTAGAAGAGTTTCCAGCCCCGGATGACCGTGAGGTTGGGGAACAGGTCGCCCAGGCTCTCGAGGCCAGCCACGCGGAACAGCAGCAGGTACTCGGTGATGACCGTGAGCTTGGGGAAGCGGTAGCTGCGGTAGTCCTCGGCCTTGGAGATGAGCAGGATGTGCAGGTAGCCCTCGATCACCGTGCAGTTCTCCAGGCGCCTCAGCTGCTGGTAGTCATTGCGGATGTCGATGCCGGGCCCGCAGACTGAAGGGAGACAAGAGGGCGGGGGCAGGAGACGCAGCGTTACCAGGAGAGAACTTCCAGACCTGTTTCCCACCCCACCGTTGGGTCAGTTTTCGGGACACCGGCACGACTGGAGCCATGAGGCTCAGTTCTGCTCCAGGACACGGGCAAACCACCGCCGGGAGAGGAGGGGCCACGGGCAGTGGCCTCGAGGCCGGCCTGACCGGCCCCACGCCCGCCCCTCTGCACAAAGCCCGTCTCCAGCGTCCCAACAAATGATGCAGGGTAAGTAGCAGCGACTGCTGCGTCCAGCTTGCAGGACGCCAAGCAGAGACGTCTACCGTGGGACAGCCAACGGCCTCAGGAAGCAGGGCCAAGGAAGCGAGGTCCCCTGGGCCTGAGCCAATGACCTCACCCCTCCCCAGCACTGCACGAAGGCAGGGGAACAGCCTCAGCGGACGGGGAATGGCATCCGTGGACGGGGTGAGCACGTGATTTACAGGAACACGAGACACACACGTGCTTTTATTAGGACAGCAAGCTCCACGCAGACAGGCTGGGTAGCAGGCAGCAAAGGGCAAAAAATATCACCAATTTCCAAAGAGAATCGCTGTTACCCGTATTTGTTCCAACAGTTCTTTCTCTAGGAATAATTTAAGGTGAAGGAAATCAGACAGTAACAATACAACGTTGACAAATGCTCTTTCTTCACCTGACATGAGCACTTCACCGAGTGAATGGATGGTCCTGCCTCTCCCCCCAGATGGCACCGCCAAGCCACGCCCAACGGTGAGCTTCACTGCCCAGGCCCGCATGTCTTGCCCGGTCTCACAGCGGTCTGCGAATCTGAGGGTGCCCACCCCTGAGACACTGAGAGGTGGCCTGTGACACTGTTTGCCGCCGGGCGGCCCATGCCCGAAGTGCGGACACAGGGTGGCCTCCATGAATGTGATCAGCTGTGCCTGCCCGGAGCCCAGTTCCCGGGAGTAGTCAGCTTGAGCAGGGGGGCACACAGGTGTCCATCAGACACCTCCAGTGAACTCAGAGCCCAGGACGACCGCCCGGCTCCCCAGCCACAACTCCATGTGAGGTCTGAGGCTTCCGTCCAGCAGCCTCCTGTGTTCTCCTGTGTTTGGCTGAGAAAGGTGGACCCCTGCCCCCCACACCCACCCCCTCGCTTCTACACCATGATCAATTATGTATGTTCATTTGCTCTTACGTGAGAAACGGACATTGAAGAATTCATTGCATCGAGGTGCTCAACATGCCACACTTGATCACATCATTCAACATCACCACACGTCTTGCCAGACTCTGCTGTCACTGCCACTAGGCCAGACACTGAGACTCAGAGCCGAGGGTTCTGGCCTCTGTGTGGAGTCAGGCCACCTACACTCAGGAAGAACCAGCTTCCCTCGGCCTCCTGGCTCCCCTCCGCGGCCACTCAGCTAACAGAAGTCAGGAAACTGAGTCAGAAGGGGCAATGCCCCCTGCACAAGCTACCTCCACGCTGGACCTGCACACACAATCCCTCCCCCTTTTTACAGAAGAAGAGAAGTAGGAAGATTCTACCCACTTAGACCCGAGAAGATGACAACCCCAAACCACAGAGTGCGAGGCGAGACCGGGCCACCCGCTGGCTTGGGTTCGGGAATGACACTGTGGTGTGTCTGGATGTTCTTTTGGCAGGAACTGAAAAGGGCAGACCCGGCTGGACTGCGAACGATACAGTCCAGTGTCCGAGAGGCCACCAACAGGAAAGGGAATACAGCACGCTTCCCTGGTGCTGTGAAACAACCCAGGCTCGGAGGGCGGGAGGCCCGCCCTGGCCACCACCCCGTGGCCAAGAGGAAGTTGCAAAATACTGCTTCTCCCTTTTCAAAGCAACAGATATTCAAAACACTGGGAAAGTCCAGGGAAGGCGCTGGAATGCGAGAGCCCGGCTGGCCCCTGAAGAGCCATGGGAGCCATGGAAAGGGAGCCGAGGGAAGCGGGAAGGCAGGCGGGTGGGTGGGCCTGGCACCCCAGGAGCCCAAGGGGGGCCGCCAGCAGGGAAGGCACTGGGAAGGGGGCCTGGCAGAGGAACCCCAGGCGCCAGGGGCAGGTCTTACTTCCTCAGAGAGCACACCCCATAGTCTTTTCAGTTGAAAGGAACACTGTTCCCAGCAAACTCACAGGTATTATTTTTAAAACATCAAAAGGCAGAATTTGTGTTCTAAGGACTTAGTGAATGACATCAACCAACTATGTATTTGGGCAATAAATCCCTAAGGAAAAATGTTGATGAAAAGCTTTTGCCTGAGAAATCCCCCCAAAAGCTGTAGATCCAGGGCTCTGGAAGAACTCTGCAAGAAATGCAGGGACAGCCTTCTCAGCTGTTCAGTATTAAACAAACTCAGGTGTCAGAAAAGGGCAAGAGATGAGTCAGCGTGAGGCCTGGGGTGCCTGCAAGGGGACATGCTTGCTCCCCACCTTCTGAGGCTCACTGTACCCGTGGAATCTTGAAGCAGAGGTTCCAGCCTCCCTGCCCCACCCAGTGAAGGGTGGCACTGAGCCAGGGGAGTTTAAAAGGACTAGGGAAGAGGACACTGGGCAAGCATGTGGAGCAGCGGACACGCTTCCTTCTCAGGCTTGTGCTTGTACCATGGACCTGGGGGACCTGGAAGGAGCACCGGGAAGAGGTGGGGGTGAACAACCCGTGGGGAGGTGACAATAGCAGCCCTCAGCTTGACCTGTACTTTCACTTTGTTCTTTTCCTTCCAGACCGACCGGCATGTCTGCCCCTTCCCTGTGGTTCCCTGCCAGAAGATGCCTTAGACCTGGGGCAGGATTTCAGGGCTCAGTGGCTTGCCCGTGAGGGGACGGGTAACTGCAGGTGTCTTACTGGAAACTATTATCTCCTCTTCTCTGTGTTGCACACTAATTCTATTCAAGTCCTTTCCTATCGCAGGCCTCACACACTAAGAGTGTATTTTGTCTTAAAGAAGCAGAAGGAAGAGCACACGCCCGGAGGTGATTGGCAGTGTCAGGGAACCCCTGGGGTACAGCCTGGGTGGCTGAGAGAGGAACGAGAGGAAAAGCAGGACAGTACTAGTAGGTGGACTGAACTCAGCGTCCGGGGGCCAGCTTCACTGTGCTCTCTGGGCAGTATCCAAATCCCTGGCTTGCCAGAGAACTCCTGGAGGCCTAGTAAAACAACAGAGATTGGGGTGGGGGAGGGTCTGCAACCCTAAAAGGTGTTCCCGACCCAACTGGCCTCCCCGCCCACCACCTGTGCAGTGTAAGGCAGGTAAGCCCTGTGCAGGCAAACCTTTTAATCCTCCAAGCGCAGCAAAGCAGATGAACATGGGGTGGAGGTGCTGCGTCCCTCGACCCCCAGGGCTCAGAGGGCATCAGCCCTTTCCCAAGCTGCTGAAACAATCCCCGTCGTGAGCAGGAACAGGGCTGCCCTGGGCTCCTTCCCTTCTTCTGCAGTCGGCTGCAGCTCACCAGAAAGTAGAAGGGGGAAAAGCACAATGTTATGATAATAAACACTACTGACACTCCAGCGTTTGTTAGAGTAGAATTTTCTGTGTGTGTAAACAGCACAGTTCATGTTAAGCCTTTTATCTTCGTGTGTCAATGGGAATGTGTTTACACTGCATATGCACATTCATCTCTGCTGCAGACAGCAGTCCCCCGGCCGACACACTCCATCACCGCAAAGGCCAGCCGAGGAACGTAAGCGATGGCAGTGCGGGCCGACGCTGAGAGCAGAGATTAAAAATTAGGGGTAACTTCCACAGTGCAGGTTTTTCGTCACTGCCCCACCGAAGCGGCATCTCTATCATGCAATACAAACAATGTCAAGGCCCATCCATACACCATGTGGAGCTGAGCTGGGGACACTCAGGCAGCGCTACGCTGTGGTAAAGAACTTACCAAGGTGGGAGCGGAAAGACGCAAAGACTGGTGGGAACACAGCCCCGGGGTCCCCGCCACTTAAGAGCATTTGGAGGCAGAAGGAAGCCATCCTGGCTGCCACCACTGCTTCCCTGGGGCTCCTCAGAAAGCCGTGGCCCCATCTGACCGTGATTCCGAGTGCCTTTCTGGTCGTAAAATATCAAGAGTTCGATATTCTTAAGTCTCAGTACTTTAAAAGCACCTTCTAAGAGCCTTCAGTCCTTTCTCATTATTCCCAGTTCTGATGGCCGCTTGCCTTTTTGATGAAGCAGCACATGAGGACTGGGTTGCCTTGGTTCAACCCCCCACTGCCACCCACTCAGACCCACGGGCCTCAGCACCAGGTCTCCCAGGCTCCTCACCCCCACCCACCATGCAGGGCCTGAAGCCCCAGTGACTCCAAGAGGCCAGCAAATGGGGCTCTCGGCACCCAGGAGGGCAGGGGTGCCAGGCCAGGGCCAGGTCGTCTCCTGCTGTGCGGCTGTGCCTGGACCAGGCCCACCTGAGCAAGGGGCCCGTGACCCAGCCCCAGCTCCTGACTGTTCTGCAGAGCACACTGCTTGCTCCAGTTAGAGTTCACAACCTCATTTTGAAAGTATTTTACTTCACCCTGCGAATGCTCCAGTTTCCTCGACTGGCCTGTCCTCTTTCCGTCAAGCCAGTTTTATCTCCACAGGCTGGTAATCAGGGTAGAAATTCCACTCGCCTGTTCCCCCAGCCCGTTCTCCACGGACGTGGGGTTGAAACAGCCCCTTGACTAGCTGGACTTTTAAGCTGACCCTGGGGCTGGGCCAGAGGGGAAGGGTGTAGGGCCAGGTAGGACCCAGGGACCAGGTAACTCAGATCCCATCCCGAACACCCCACCCCTTGGCCAGACGGGGTGGGGGGACGCTTCACTGCTGGGTGCCTCTGTTACTTCTGATGTGGTTTGGGACTGAATGCCTTCAATCTTCCAACAACACTTGTAAAACACCGACCATGTGCTGACAATAAGCACTTTCCAGGAACCAAGAGGTGAGCCATGAACACAGCCAGCATGAGGGCAACTCCTGCCTTCATGGAGCAGCCGGGCAGCCAGGCCTCTAACACCATGCAGACCTCGCTCAACGGCAGCGCAACGGAGGCAGCACCTAGGGCTTCACGCACCCTCAAAGACGGCCAGGTGCCAGGTGGGGGCCCCCAGAGAGCCATCAGCCAGAGAGCATGAGAGGGCAGTCGCCGCCAGGGTCCAGACAGGGAGGCAGCGAGACAAGCAAGTGCAGCCCCAAAGCTAACGGAGCAGGAGCTGCCAGAAGGAAACGTGCTCAACACGGTCACGGGCCGCTCACGTCAGTGGAGGCTGCATGGTGCGGGCTGGGGAGGGGCAGTGGAGGCCACACGAGAGGGCCAGGTCCGAGCAAGAGCAGGCAGCAGCTTGGCCTGCCAGGAGGACAGACGGGCGTGGGGCAGAAGGCACTCCAAATGCCCAGGGCACCACACCCCTCAACGCTTGGCATTCGCCAAGCCTGGACAGGGCCACACTGGAGGCGGCATTCGAGAACGATTGTTCCAGCAGCGGGCAGCAGTCAAGAGTACCGATGGCACATCAAACTTCACAGTGGTCAAGGGGTAGGGCTGTCGACTGGCCATGGACAAATGGACAAAATTCGTCTACGCACACGGTGGAATATCATGTGGCCTGAAAGAGGAAGGGAATTCCGGCACCTGTTTGGACCGTGAGGACGTTACGCTAGGTGAACTAAGCCAGCACCAAAGGGCAGACACTGCATGAGTCTACCACCACCTGGACTCATCAGAGAAAGGACGCTGAACAGGGCTTTCGGGGTGTGGGGGGGGGAGCAGGGAGAAGACGGAGGTTGCTCTTTGAAAGGTACGGTCTCAGTTTTGCAAGATGCAAAGCGGTCTAGAGAGGTTCCACAGCAGTATGAGTGTGCTTGAGATGCACATGGAAACAGTGCCGACAGCGAATTTTATGTGCACTTTTCCCTCATTTTAGAAAGCAGAGGAGAAATGTGGCATTTTCTTCTGTTCTGGTGGGTCATGCCAGGATAAACGGACAGCTGAAGAGAGGCCCGCCCCCTCCAACCCCCCCAGAACCGAGAAGAGTCCAGCTGGAAGGAAGTAGGTTTAGCCACAGATGGGCATTTAGAAATGCCACAGGCCAGGCATGGCCTTGGGTCTGCACCCAGCTCAGCCTTGGGGCTCAGGACATACACGTCCTGCATGGATGCCCCAGGAAGACAAGGCACTGAACACACAAAGCAGGTGTAAGGGGTTGGACAGGTGGTATCTACTTGTGCTTCTCTAGCAAAGGGCAGAAGCTAAAACCCCACCTGCAACCAGCCACCTCTGCAAAACACTGACTGGAGCACTCGACCTGACAGGGTACAAAGACAGGTGTCACCCCATTTCATTGATTGTCTAACGTTGGGTGTTGGTGGATTGCTCCCTCCTGTCAGCACTCACCTTATAAAACATTGTGGGGTGAGTAAGAAAAGGATCAGTCACCCCCTGTAAGCTACTGCCTTCTCCTAAGTCATCACTCCCACTCCTGAAAGGCCTTTATGTTTCCTACCACTTCTGCACTTACTATTTTGCTGGAACACCCCCAGATTCACCTCTTCCCCAGAGTTACCCAGAGGTCACTGTTTTACGCTGGGGTTATCTGAGGCTAGAGGCCAATGGTGTGGCTGACTCCTGCACAGAGCCCTCCTGGACCCCTCTTGTCGAGGAGTTCGCCACTCACACCACAGGGGTGTCCACCCACCAGCCTGGGCAGCAACTCTGTGGAACCAGCTGCCAGCAACCTGGCAGGAGAGAATTTGTAAAGCCAGACTGTCCCTGCTGTGGATCCATGAACAGATCTGCAGAACACCTTTCACCCACGCAGCTCGATTTCGGGATAACAGCCCGACACCCCTCCTCCTGCTGTGACAGCCCCTCTCTCTGTCTCTAGCAGCTTGAGCAACCATAGCAGCAAAAGAAGAAAAACACGCCAGCGAAGTCATAAAACCATAAAACACTGTAAACCACCACAGCTCGGGATTTCTAGATGTTTCTCTTCTTGGTTATGAAATGCTAGACTGTTGGGTCACCAGGCTTGTCTACAGCGCTCTGTTAGCCATCTCACCCCATCCTTGAGACAAGGTGAAGCATATGCACTCCATCTGAATCGCTGGTAAGGTGGGACTCACCTTGCAAAGTGTTGATTAATGAGCAGCCCAGGGAAAAGGCTCTTCCTCAGTCCTGTATGTTTCAACAATTTTATCGATTCCTTGATGGCTCAGATAAAATGTTTATCTAATTCAAGGATGACAAGTTTCCAGGAGAGATGGCGAATAACAGTGGATGACAGAGTCAAGAGCTGAAAAGATCAACAGATTGGAATTGCAACAGAGAGGAAATAATGTTATTTGGACACTTGGGTGCAAAAAAAGAAATGCACAAATGTGGGAGGTGTGAAAAAGACTTAGGAGACGTAATTGGATATAATTTCTGTATGTGATGATGGGGCGCTGTGGCTGCCAAAAAAGTCAGGCCGTCTTAGACTAGACTAAGGGAGATTTCATGGAGTAATGTGCCAGAGGACGAGGCCCCAAAACTGAGTTTCTGGCTCCACACATATTTTTTTATTTCAAGTGCTTGCTTATTGAGGTAACATTGGTTGCAACACTGTGAATGACTTAGGGTGTAAGTTCACACCTCTTTTGAAGCATGTCATCGCACCTTACCTACCAGCAAAGTCCCAGGGACCTGCCACGAGTCCTCTGAGAGGGTGTGAGAGGGGGTGACCAAGCATTGGCACTGGGACTCTGGGGAAAGATGAATGAAGTGTGTGTTCATGGGAAGGTGCAAACTGTTTCACTGTGCAAACGATTGGCAAATCAATAAAACCTGAAGGGGGAAAAAAACTATCACCCAACTTGACCTCCCATTTTCCACAAACTACTCAGTCTCCCTGTCTGGTAACCTCAGTTTGGCAGTCAGTTTTCTAAGGTTTGTCTTGGTTTTGTCCCTTTGGTTTGTTTCATTATATGCTACATGAAATTGCCTTTCTCCTGCTTATATATTGTACTTAACATAATCCCTTCCAGTTTCATCCATGTTGTTGAAAATCACAAGATGTGTCTTTTTTATGGCTGAGTAATATTCCATTGTTCACATCTCCCTGACCCACTCATTTGCCATTGGGCGTTCAGGTTGTCCCATAGCTTGGTTATAGTCAATACGGCTGTAATGTCCACGGGAGTCTGCCTCCACGTGTGGAAAGAGAAGAGAGTGGATGGGAGCACACCACGGCGGCCAGAAGATGCAGGGCAACTGAGATCCATCTCGCGAGAAATAGATGCAGAAGCCGAGCCTTCCAGGTCCCGGTGGAGATGGGCTGGGTGGGTTCTCTGTGACCCTGAGAGGGCGGTGGACACAGAACCCAGCTCAACAATGCAGGGTGGAGGAGTCAGGCTCCTTGTGAGGACGCACAGTAGGCTGCCGAACTCAGACCGGGCCTCTGAAGAGGTGGAGCAGATTTCTGTGGACTGGCAGATTCTAGAGATTGTGTCAGCCTGATTCATTTACTGGCAATAACACTCTGTGGGAGTCTCTTCTGCCCCATTTGCGTGTCCACCCAGGTGGCGAGGGGGGACCACTGCTTCTGACCTCATCTGCTGGTAAGATGCATGTGCCGGCGCCTCCAGGGCCACAGCACCGTTGATGTGGAGCAGCTAATTCTTGGTTTTACCACAAACCATGGTGGGGGGGTCAGAAGTAAAGACAGGAAGCCCCGCCACACAGCTCCAGCTGTCCCTGCCCATTTAGGACACGGTGTCACACCTGCTGCATCCCCCACCCCCCAGGTTGCCACAGGGTCCCGTATTGCCAAGAGCCGTTCTCCCTAATAGGTTGGTTTCCTTCCGTGCATCGCTGCAGCAAAGGGCCATACACAAGTCACGGCCACGTGAACCCCTGCCTCCGTGGCACTTCCTTCGCTGGGTGCTGAAATGCAGGTCAACAAAGACACCTGAACATTAAGTGACCACAGCACCGAAACCAAACAGACAAACAAAAATCTGT